TCTTCCGATGTGGTGCGCAGGCTCTTCACTGCGGCGTGCGGGCTTCTCTCTAGTTGTGGTGCGTGGGCTTTCTTTATCCAGTTGTAGCACAGGGGCTCCAGAGTGCAGTGCGGGCTCAGTAGTTGTGGCGCGTGGGCTTAGTTGCCCCATGGCATGTGGGGTCATAGTTCCCTGACCAGGGATTGAACCCATGTCCCACGCATTGGAAGGCGGATTCTTTACCACTGGACCGCCAGGGAAGTCCCTCCATTTCATATTTTAATCTTTACATCAATTTTGCTGCTTTTTCTACCTTGCCTGCTGTAATATTTGAAAAACTTTATTGAGATGTACTCATTCTCACTTCGTTGAGCTAAGAAGCATTTTTGGAAATAGACATTGAATTATGCACTAAATTAGGGCTATAATATACATTATTTTATCAAGTAAAAGAAAGACCTTATAATTTGAAGTTCAAGATATGTCACACTTTCATTTTCTATTTCAGTCTACCATTGGAATACAACAGTTTTTTTTTTAATCTTTATTGAGATATAACTTAAGTACCATAAAATTCACCCAAAGTGTGCAATTCAGTGCTTTTTAGTGTCTTAACAGAGTTGTGCAACTGTCACCACTATCTAAGCTTAGGATATTTCCACCAGCCCCAGAAGAAACCCTGTGCCCCTTGACAGTCACTCCCCACTCCTCCCCAGCCCCCAGCCCCTGGCAACTACCAGTTTACTTTCTGTGTTGATAGATCTGCCTGTCCTGGCTATTTCATATACAAGGAATCTAATACAGTATGTCAACGCATAGCTTTTGACGTGAAAAACCATCTGAGTTCTAACAAACATCTTAGAAATGCCTGGTAGGAAGATTGCTAGCTGTCAGATCTGGACTTAGATAAGGAGAGGCTTTATTCAAAGAGACTATTTCAATAGGGAGAATAGTTGAGTCTCAGAAATGTACAAGAGTCTGAAAATCAAACAGAAAAAGCTTTTCTTTTATGGGGAGGAAATAAACAGACCTTAGCAGAAACTTTCAAAGGGAAGTTGGACAAGCAAGGCGGCATAATCGTTGGGGGTTGACAGGAAATGTGTCTCGCTGTGTCAGCTGGTTCTCGGGACCAGCTGAAAAGGGGACACGTTCTGCATTTCAGCACCTGCTCAGGCTGGGGGCCAAGCTAGGGTTCAGGGGCCTGTGCGGGGGAGGGGAGAGGCCTGAGTAAATTTTGGTCAAGAGAACACAGAGGGTAAGAAGCGGGCAGCTGTGAACACTGGGTCATCATAATGAACTTCAGTGGACTCCCTGATTTTTAGGAGTTTCCCTCAGTTTCCCTGCTGGGGTTGGGTCTTAAAGCAAGCTTCCTTATACTGCATATGCCACCATCTCCCCAAATATTCCTGAGGAACAAATCGTGTGTTTAAGAACATAAAGCAGAGAACAAGGTAAAGGGTTATGAAAAGAAAGGATTCCCTGTATTTAGTCTGGGGTGAGGGAGATGATTGAAAAGCTTAATGGCTTAAAAGTGGGCATAAAACTTTCAATCGAATGATTCAGGCTTGTTGAATATTACTTTGAGAAAAAAATAGGTAATATCAATTTGCATCCTGGATTTCTTCTCAGACAGCTTCTAATCTGTAACTGTTTTCATGTTTCTCCCAGATTCCATGTTTCTAATATATTTCTTTCTGTTTCCCTTAAATCACTTACACAAAAGGCCTTTTAGCTTTCCTTGAGAGAGTCTGAAAGGCATCATGAGAAAGTCACTATTCTTGTTCTGTTCTCCAAAGTTCATTATAAAATTCCTTCACTTTTGGTCAGACTCCTACCTAGAGATCAGATTTAAGATGATAAAAATAATTGTGTTGCAATAAATAGATTTATTCCCTACAGACTTTTCTAGTCCTGGCTGTTTTCACTTTACTTAAAGGATAATTAATTTGCTGATGTTTTTGCCTATTATCTTTTTCTTATTCTGCTTTACTTGTTATTTCAAAATAAAGAATTGAAAGATTGTAGTATTTTTTTGATGACTGAATTTAGATTATAGGTGCTGGTTCTAATGTAATTAACCAACCTATAAATTCTAATCCAGTCATTTAAGAGAAAAATCTTTCCATTGGAAAAAACTGGTTTTAAACTGAGCTGCAGTGCCCCTGCTTACCTAATGAGTTATTTGGAGCAACACCTGTGCAGTCTTTAGACCCAAGCTATTCAGCAGTAGTCAAAGATGCTAGAAACGGAGCAGTGGTACACCCTAGGGAGTTATCAGTGTAAGCGTGGGTGTTGGTGTGTCTGGGATCTGGAAATGAGTCAGCGGCTGTGAGAGTTTCTTTGGCAGGTAATTTTATTTTTCCCTGTGGCTAAGGATAATTACTGTGCCAAAGTTCCATGCAAATATGACATTATAAGGCTTTGAAATTCAGGTGAAGCATTCATTCACTCTTTCATTCTAAAGAAAAGCCAGGAATGGGCAGGGGAGTGGTGTGGGTTACCTGGAAAAACATTTTTTTAACGTATTACTGTAGATTAACTCAATCTCTATTAAATGAAACTGAACATTACTTTGCTTTTTTATAACAGTCTGTTGTGCAAGGAACACACCTGCCTTTTTAGCTAAAAGACTGCACCAAGCTTTGAAGGTTGGTCTGGAAATTTCATATATATTCTTACCTCGCCTCAAGGAGAATGTAAAAATATTGCTTAATGTTGATGGAATTCCGTATTTCTTTTCCGCCTTGATGAGTTCTCTTCTGTCGCTAATGTGTCTACTCATTTGGCTCATTGGTTGCTAATGAGTATCCTAATCATTAGAGACGTAGGTACACTGAAGTGTTGAGTAAATCATTTCCCCCACTTCACGGTCATGTGGGCAGTCAACTTGCTTTAGGATGACAGACCTCCAGCGTGAGCCAGTAGCCTCTCAAGCTGCCTTACTTAAACCAAACTGCGTCAGCAGCCGTTCATGATACAGAAACCCTGTGTTTTCTCACCTGCTGCCACTGCTGGATGGGGGAGCTCCAGGAATCTGTTCAGGAGGTTTTCTTGCTCTTTTGTGTCTTTAGATTCTCTTACTGAGCCTGGCACATAGAAGGTGCTTACTTTAGTTTCTTCCTGGACATTTCCTGTGGAAGTCCATGTGCTCCTACAAAGCTGTGTCCAAAGTAAACACATCATTTTCCTCACCTCACTTCCCACCCCAGTCTTGCCCCCCATCCTGCATTTAGTCATCTCAGTGGATAACCCCAGCAGGAACTAGCCTTGCCCAACTCGCTGAAGTTATGCCTTTCCTCCCCAGCCTTGTTCCTACGCATCAGCCACATCAGCCTTCTTTCTGTTTCTTGACTATGCTGAGCCTCCTCCCATGTCAGGGTCTTTGCATGTGTCGTCCTCTCTCCTCCAGGTCTGCCTATGGCTGTCTCCTTCTCATCTCTGAGGTCTCAGCTCAGATGTCACCTCCTGGGAGAGGTCTTCCCTCACTACACCGGTCAGCTGGCTTCCTTTCACTCACACTCCATCCCATCATTCTTATTACCACGTACTTGAGCAACTTGTTCATTGTGTTTACTGTCCATCTGCATCTATTAGAACGTAAACTGCGTGAGAACAGAGATATCATCTGTGTTGTTCACTACCATATGCACAGCACATGGCACAATGTCTGGCACATAGGAGGTGCTCAATAAGCATTTGTTGAATGAATGAATAAATGAATAGTGTCAATATTCACCTAACCGTTCAGCGAGTAATGTTACACTTCCCTCTCCTTCATCCTCCTCAGATGATATATCATTAAGTTTTGTCAATCAACCTTTATGAGCATCTCTTCAATCCATCCATTTTTCCATCCCTACTGCCATTATTCTAGGTCAGGCCATCATCATCATCTCTCTCTGTCTCTGTCTCTCTGTCTCTCCCCTTCTCTCTCTGGTTATGTAATCATCTCTGGATGGGTCCCAAAGCTTCTAGTCTTATTCTGTTATCTTCATCCCACTCTTGCCCTGCAGTCCATTCTTCATACCGTTGCTGTCAAAGGAATTTTCTGAACCCACAAATCTGATCTGATCTCAGCACTCTCATGTTTAACAGATTGCAGTAGTTCTTCCCACTTGGGATAAAGTCGAATTTCATTTCACGGTTTACAAAGTCTGGCCTTTCTAGACATATTTCTTGCTGTTTCTTCTTATTATTTATGTTCTTGCCCTAAACCATCACACATGCTGTTTCCTGTGTAGGAACACTTTTTTTCCTCTCTGTAAGAACTCCATTCCTTCTTCCCCTGGCTGATTATTTAGGCCCCAGCTTAAATACTACTTTCTCAAACAGACCTCTCCTAATCTTCAATCTATCTTAGGCCTCCCGAGCATATGCTCCCATAGTACCCAGTAGTTCCCATATGTCAGGTTTTATTGTAATGGCCCATTTTCTCGCCTGTATCCTTTACAAAATTGAAAGTTTAACCGGGGCATCTCATCTCTGTCTTCAGCATTTGACCATGCGATGGCACAAAGTGCTCAATAAATATTTCTTGAATAAATGAATGATGATGTTTGATGAAAAATGAGTGAAGGAGAGTCACTGTGGTTGACTGTTTTGCGTACCATTATCTATGTCCTGTAAATATAGTTCTGTATGTTGTTTTGTGAGCAATGAGATTGGTATTTGTGGACACTTGCATTTCTCAACAGGGCGCTGGGACTGATGAGTTTACTCTGAACCGAATAATGGTTTCCAGATCAGAAATTGACCTTTTGGACATTCGAGCAGAGTTTAAGAAGCAGTATGGCTATTCCCTACATTCAGCAATTGAAGTAAGTCTCTTCTTAAAAATAGCAAAACATATCATGCCTCTCTCTACCCATCCTTTTTCCCTTATAATTCTCAAAACATGGAGACATATGACTTCGGTTTCTCTCTCTTGTCAGTGTGTAAATGTGTTTCCTGAGTTTAAAAGAGTAATAACAAAATATCCCTTAAAGGCAGTGATTATTTTTCAGCTCTAAAATCCCAGGCACATAAAAGACACTCAACAATTTTTTCAGGTTTAGTGGCCACTAATTTTTCTTCTTTTGTGAATTGCTTATGCAGGTTGCTTAACCTATTTTTTATATTGCAGTATTTTAATTTATTTCAGTTTTTCTTTCTGACAATAGAAGAAAAGTACGTATTTTAAATTTCTTCTTTGTTTGACTCAAAAGATAACATCGTTCTGCACCTTGGAGTTCTTTTTATTTCAGGATATAGGAAGCTTTCTCATTCTTTTTAACAGCTGCATATCATTCCATTATTTGTATATCTGTACCTACCACATCAACAGATGTTTCAAGTTTCTTGCTATTATAAACAATGCTGCAATACGCACATACAGTTTCATAAGGTACAAGTGTATCTGAGGGATAAGTTCTCATGAGTTGGTAGGATCGCTGAGACAGATGTAAATATATCCGTAATTTTGGTAAATATTACCAGTTGACTTCCACTGCACCTCAGTTAGTCAACTAGATTCATTCACCAAAATCGTTTTTGTTTTTTGGGTCTTTTTTTTAATGAGAGCTGTTGTTTTTGCACTAAACCTTTGCAGGAAAAGATGCATGCCTAAGTTGAAATAGAAACTTATTCAAAAAGGCAGCTGTCAGGCTGTGCCTGGGGCTTAGCACAGATTTCATCAACTGCTCATACTCAACGAAATTTGAATCGATCTGACACATTACAATAGTTTCACTTAACAGAGAAAGATACAATAACCTTAACCAAATTGTTTTTACCAAGGCAGAAAAGGAGAGGCATATGTTTCATAAAGATTGCCGGTAACAAGGTTGAAACACGAAGAAAGCCTTCAGTTCACCCTTGGCAAACTAGGAAATTCAGTTAACTGGTAGCTCTCCCTGCCCCCCCCTCCATGGTCTGGGTAATTGAGGGTTATTGTATTAGGAAACATTTAAGCAACGTGTATCTTGACAGAAAAGAAAAATCCATTGCTGCAGAGTTCAGTGTGTAATTTAAAATTATCTAAGGTTTCTTCACTTCTGTCGCCTAACATACATTATCAAGTAATCTCATTACGTTTTCAAGACTGACGAATAGGATGTTTTCGATGGTTAAAATTCTGTAATTCAGGAGCTAGAGTTCCATTTTGTATATCATCCCAGCCTTGGGTTCCTCTTCCTTCCGCCTTTAATTTAGACATTTCTCTGCTCATTAACACCTTTCTCAAATGATGACTGGAGGGGAAAAGAAGAGGAAGAGAGTAGGTGAGAACAAATCTGTATTTCTTATTACTTAATAATAGGATCTTAATTTAAAAATTGGATGAAATTACAGCTTTTGGTAGATTTCCTTTATCAACAAGTTGAGTACCTATTTAATAAATAGCATAATTCCAGGGTCTTTAAAGGAAAATATAATAGCTACCCTCAATTAATTCATAATCTATGTGGAGACTGAGGTGGGCATAAATAAAACAATTACAAGATAATGATATGAGTTACCACAGTATTCTGCCTAATAATATTTCATATTGATAGTACATACTAAAATGTGAGATTATAAACGCAAAGAAATTTTTTTTTAAAAAAGAGAGAATAAAGTGGCTGACATAAAGAAATAATATGGGGCTTCCCTGGTGGCGCAGTGGTTGAGAGTCCGCCTGCCGACGCAGGGGACACGGGTTCGTGCCCCGGTCCGGGAAGATCCCACATGCCGC